GCCTCATCCCGGCCGCTTCGCACTCAGCTGCGAACCGCTCCAGCGAGAGCTGCAGATCACAGTCACGAGTTGAGGTCAGCAGCACACCATCCCCACTATAAACAGTGTTGGTGCTGCACTGCTTCCCCCTCCTGAGACGCCGGATGGAGGACCAGAATTGCCTCGAAGCCGTGCGGAAGTCTTTCTCCATGGCCTCTCCAAACTCCTCCCACGCCCAGGTTTTTGCCTCAGTGACCACCCGAGCCGCATGCCGCTTCGCCCACCGGTACCCATCAGCTGCTTCTGGAGTCCCATAGGCCAGAAAGGCCCGATAGGACTCCTTCTTCAGCTTGACAGCATCCCTCACCGAAGGTGTCCACCAACGGGTTCGAGGGTTTCCGCCATGACAGGCACCAAAAACCTTGCGGCCGCAGCTCCGATAAGCCGCCTCGCCAATGGAGGTACGGAACTTGGTCCATTCAGACTCAGTGTCCCCCACCTCCCCCAGAACGTGTTCGAAGTTCTGCCGGAGATGGGAGTTGAAGCTCTGTCTCACAGGGGACTCTGCCAGACGTTCCCAGCAGACCCTCACTACACGTTTGTGCCTGCCAGGTCTGACCGGCTTCCTCCCCCACCATCGGAGCCAACTCACCACCAGGTAGTGGTCAGTKGACAGCTCCGCCCCTCTCTTCACCAGAGTGTGCAAGACATACGGCCGCAGATCCGATGAAACTACGACAAAATCGATCATCGAACTGTGGCGTAGGGTGTCCTGGTGCCAAGTGCACATATGGACACCCTTATGCCTGAACATGGTGTTAGTGATATACAATCCGTGACGAGCACAGAAGTCCAACAACAGAACACCACTCGAGTTCAGATCGGGGGTGCCATTCCTCCCAACCATGTCCCTCCAGGTCTCACAGTCATTGCCCGCGTGAGCATTGAAGTCCCCCAGCAGAACAAGGGAGTCCCCAGGAGGGGCACCCTCCAGTACCCCCTCTAAGGACTCCAAGAAGGGTGGGTAATCTGAACTGTTGTTTGGCCCGAAAGCACAGACAACTGTCAGAACCCACCAGTGCCGGGCTCCGTGGGTGAAAGCCCGGCCACCAGGAGCTCGCCATCGTGCCCCACCTCCAGGCCTGGCTCCAGGGGGGGGCCCAGTGACCCGCGTCCGGGCAAGGGAACGCCAGATCCAAATCTTTTGAGCATCATAAGGGGTTTTYGGGCTGCGGTTTGTCTGGTTCCTCACCTAGGACCTGTCTGCCTTGGGTGACCCTACCAGGGGCATAAAGCCCCAGACAGCATAGCTCCTAGGATCATTAGGACACTCAAACCCCTCCACCACGATAAGGTGGCAGCCCAAGGAGATGGGGGGTAAGATCGTAACATAAATAAACAAGACCAAAACCAAAAGACACTGTAAATTATACTATTTGAAATAAACTCTTAACAAAAAACAAAAAGTATAACAAAAGTATATCAAAAAACAATTTCTCAAATGGCCATTTTTAAAATAAAGCACRTTAATTATATAAAGACCTTTTAAAACTATTCTCAGAATTTAACAAAAGAGAAAAAGTCATTCCACAAGTTCAAAACAGATAATACACTAGCACAAGTTAGATTCAAAGTATACATTTGTTTTTATTATTATTAATATATGATTTAAAAAAAATTCTACCTGAAACAGTGCTTCTGAGTGTGAATGCATTACGACTGCATCATACTTACAGGAAGACACACAGAGAGGTAGCAGCTGTTCAGCATGGTAAACTGTGGCTAACAAGGAGATAAAAGCTTCGGTCTTCAGTGAGGATGAACGTCTGGTTGTCAAGCTCTATCGTTTCCATCGTTAAATTGCTTGAGATCTGCATTCTCTCTGGCAATGTTTTTGGATTTGCCCAAAGCCTCAGCAATGATTTAAGTCCTGATGAGTTCTTGAACACTAGCTTGTTGTTGTTAGCATTTTAGCAGAAAGGACTTTGTGCTGCTTTCAGGAGTTAACAGGCGTTACATGTTCTCGAACCAGTCTTTGACACCCCTGACGTAAATGAAATTAAACTTTGATCTCATTTAAAATCTCTCGTGATAAGTTAGCTCTCTGCACATGTGTTGAGGATGGCACTGTAGAAAATGTGTTGTTTAAAAAATGGCATGTCTGAAAATAAAAGCAGGAATCCACTAGATTTCTTTAGAAAAACTTTATCTTTTGAATCCAATCAGATCCAGCACAGGCCTCAGTGTAAGACCTTGAACTTGAATCAGGAAAGCCCAAACAAAGCAGCCCAGTCTGTCCAGGCTGGATCTGAACCAAGACTGTGCAAAACACTAACAACTTATTTTTACTTTACTGATGAATTGACCTTATAATGTATTTCTCTTCTCGGTTATACCCCTGGAGGTGTTACTTTTTACGCCAGACGCAACTAACTTTTGTTTATATGTACAGAACACATGATAACACACACCAACTCTCATTCTGTTTAAACTTAAGGCTGCAATGATCAGAAAGTATAAAATCCAAAACTCCAATCTAACATTTAGTTAATCATTCGCACCAAGCTTTAGTTCAATATCAACAAAATTGTAAAACTGAGTTATAGTCCTTTAAGTGGTTTCATCGTCCAGCTGGCTGTGGCAGCCATGTTGAATTAGGTTCACTCCAAAAGTTAGTCGCAGAGGTCTATAAAGTAATTGAAAAAATAACTAAGTAAAAGTAAAATTACATGAACAGAAAATGACTTTGGTAAAAATAAATTTCACTGATGAGAAAACTACTCAAGTAAAAGTTTCATAAAACTGTTCACAAAAATTGGGAAAGTAAAAGTAAAG